AAAAGGTGCGTTTTGACGTCGCTGTCATCACATCGCTGGGGTGGACAAGCTACAACACTGGCAACAAGCGACGCACGATCAGCACCATGGCAAACCAGGGTTCAGCAGCAGCCGGCAGCATGGCGTCTGCTGAAATTGCTGCGGTGCCAGCTGGAGGCATGGGGCAAGCATTGCAATCGGCGTTATTAGATCAGGAAAGTCAGGTGGAACGTCTTGCGATGGAAAGGGAGGAGGAGGCGAGGAAGAGAGCCCGAAGCTCCCCCGATCCCAGCACAGTGCGGCATCAGGAAACCATCGATGCCGTCATGGCATCGGTCAAGGTTCCCCAGGCCATCGTACATCACATCAAAGCCATCGTTGACAAGCTCCACAGCAAGATCTTGAAATACTATAGCCTAACGAAGAAATGTGATCGCATCCGTGAACAGATTGATATCATTTCCAAGGGCGACTGGCCTGTGGACATGAAGGCCTTCAGGTGCCAGGTCGAGGTCCCAGAGCTCGAAGATCATATCTCGGGCGATCTTGCCCCGCCGGTTTCTTGATCAGGACCAGCCCCACCAGGTCATCACCTACCGCAAGGCCAAAGAGAAACTGTTCATAGATTACACGCTTACCAACAAGCAGATCGATTTACAGTTGTTGGAAATACAATTATCTCTTGTTGGTGCAGAGATCGATTTCACAAAGTGCGTAGATGAGACCACTGCTATTTCCAATTCTCGCGATTCTGATTTGAGAAACCTTCGGTTGCCAGCAGCTGCGCTCCCACCTGGTCTTTTTGCAGAGGAGGCGAGGTTGACGAAGGAGGAGGCAGTCAAAATGTACAAAACCATGCTTCGAATAAACGCGGACGATGATGTGAAGCGGAAGGCCGAGGAGGACAAGCAGGCAGCAATCAAGCAGGAGCGCATCTCAGCCCTCATGAAAGCACCCCCCAGTGTCAGGTTTGCGGCTGCTGTCAAGCTAGTGGTTGGCGCCGAGCAGGGCGGTCTTGATTGGGCGGCTTACCAGAGCGGCACCCCGGCAGCAGATTGTCTGCCGTCCTCCAACAGTGCATCTACATCCAAACGCGTTTTCACTAAGAAGGAGCAGGCCCGGCGGAAAAAAGATCGGACGTCCGCTTCGAGACCAAAAAACGGCAAGGCCCCAGGGGGCGGGAAAGGCGGACCCTGGGGCAACCAGCAGCAGTATGTAACAGATCCCCAGTCCACCCCAAAAAACAAATCCAAGGGCCAGAAGGGCGACACCAGGGGTTCCAAGGGAAAGGGCAAGGGCAAGGACAAGGGGAAGGACAAGGAGAAGGGCCATCCAGAAGTGAAAGGAGGAGGGAGAGGCGCTCAGCGTGGCGGCGCTCCCAAAGGCAGAGGACGCAATGCGAGGAGTGGAAAATGAACGTGGAGTTCATCAAACTTGTGGACGGCATGCCTACTGATGATTTGTTGTGGCTTCTGAACGAGGGTTCTCAGTTGCAGCACGTGTACGTGTACAATCATCAGGACCATAATTGCCGCCACCCAGAGCCCGGTGAACTCCCATGGCCAATAATATTATTGCTTTCTCGCTTCCATCGCAAACATCGTTTCACACAGAAATCTCTGCCAAAACTTTCAGGGTTCAACCACGTAATCCAGCAAGTACGGCACAAATTAGTGTGGAAATGGCATTTCAGACATGAAACGATTCTTTATCAGTTTCGCGTTGCATCGACATGCCGAGCCACCAAACCGTTTTCCGAGTCTGCCCCTGTCGAGTTTGACGCTATGCTGCGTGCTATGTGTAGCCATGTTCTCCGAGGGTGCAAGCACAAGCTTCACCAGCAATGCGGTCACACAAAGAGTTCAAACATGTATGGTCTCATATCGCTGGCTTTCAAACAACTCGCTGAATTGGATTGGGTCCCCGTGCTGACTGACAAGGACGTGGGTTCGGCGCTCGTCCGAAAAGGCGTGCTGGAGCAGATCCATTCTTCAGCACTCGCGGGTCCGCAGTATGAAGAGACTTCTCCATTGAACATCCGCTGGTGGCAGCTGTGTGATCACTACTCTAGCTTGGTCAAGTGAATTCACGAGATCGAGCCGGACACAGACGCGCGCTCCCTGCTGCAGAGCTTGATGGGTGGAGTCCCCAGGTTTGTGACGTCAGTAGGGGAGACGATCAAAACCCACAAAGATCCAGGTGACGTCTCTTTCAGTATACTGCATACCAGGAGGGACCATTCGTTTAAGGGTCTTGGGGCTTGGGTAGCTCGCCGGCTTCGTGAACCACTTGCGGTCAAACCACACCATCTCTCAAGCACAGAAGATCTCATCAATATATTGAATAACATGTGTTTCCCCAGTGACGAATTGTTCATACGATACGACGTCAGAGACTCCTTCATGTCTGGAGGTACCAACGAACTCGTGCGTGGTGCTGTCGCTGTTGCGCCCCAGGCTCTTGGGGAGATCATGGGCGATGCGGCAGAGTTCCTCTTGAGCAACCAGTACGTCCAGTCCAGGTTCTACGATGACAGAATTTGGCAAGTGAAGGTCGGTTCTGGGATGGGGATGAACTTCTGTGGGGATTTGTCGGACGCGGGATTCTACCACATATTGGAGCATTCTAGAGTGAATGATCGGGTCTGGATGTCCAGCAGGGGGATCTTGTTGTACGTAAGGTCCAAGGATGACATCCTGATCATCACTGGCGCGAGCCTCGCGCGTCGCTGGCATGTGCACGATTGGCTTGTGACAAGCAACCGTAGCAACTTCAAGTGTAAGTTAGAGAAAACCGCCGTGCATGGAATAGACATGCTAGACATACAGATGTTCAAGGGTCCTGATTTTGCCTCCACCGGAAAACTAGCATACGAACCAATCTGGAAAAAAGACCAGCTTGGGCATCCCATTGTCTATTTTTCGGAGCACCCCCGAGGCATCCACGCTTCCTGGCCGTTTGCAGAGCTGGGGCGTCTCCACCGTCATTCTTCCACCCTCAAGCTAAGCTTGGAGGCCAGAGGAGTGTTAATCGAGCGTCTCGGCCAGTATGGATTTCCGAAGTCCTTCATCCAACTTCTGCATGCCTGGTCCCCTAAACGTGTTAGACCCACCTCCTGTCCTGCCCCCACCACCAAAATGTGGGTGCGAGTCCCATACCACAGAGTTTGGGCGTCGGCTGGTCTAGCGAAGTTGTTGAATGAGTTTCTATTCCTGGACATCCCTAGGAGCATTTGTGTGCAGTTGTATCTAGGGTATCCTCTAGATATAAGGCCTGCATGGGTTCTGTGGCAGGCACCTTTTTCTAAATTGGTCCAGAGATTCTCGCACAGTCACGTGACACCGTGCTAATTTGGAGGTTGGTTGGGTGTGGACGGTGGTCCTTGCTTACTTACTCTTTTCACGACATGCCTGTAGCAGCATTTGGCTCGGGGTTCTCACCGCGCCCCAGGCCCGCGCGCAGCCACAGCGGTCTGCGTGCCCATTTGAGTAGTTCCCAGGTGGCGAGCCGCAAAACGTGTTAACAAATCGTGCGTTTTGACGTCGCCGTCATCACATCGCCGCGGCGAGGGAGCCCGCACCACCCCTCCGGACAACCCCCCCCCCCGCCACACCGAGCCCCCCCCCGCCGCACGAAGAAAAAAAAATTACACTAGAGAAGAGCCCCCAATCCGTGGATGGCTCTCGCTAAAGAGATCGACCGGGAACCCGGGAGCCCGGGAACCCAGAACCCCAGAGTTCGGTCGATCCCTGCGCTACGGAAAAAACGTGGAAAAGGATTCAGAGAAAGCACTTGCTTCATATTGAACGGTTGTCTATGGTCCAAAACATGAACACATTCATTCGCTTCGATCCCCTCTCGCTCCATATTCGAGAACCCACCGAAATCGGCATGGAACCAATCACCCGGAACCCAGGAGCCCGGAACTGGGAGCCTGGGAACCCAGTCTGCTAGCAAAATTTCGGCGGGAGTTTCGCCAGATCTTTCTCAACTTCCGCTATCGGACCCCTTCAGTGCAAGCACTGATTGGGGAATGTCGGAGGCGCGCGACAAAAGGTCGGGAGTTCTCAGAAAAGGTGTCCCTGGCCGAGGGTGCCCCCGCGACTTCCCAACAGGCCCCCCGCGATCTCGGGTGCGCCCCCCGCGAGGCCCGCCAGGCCTCCCCGGGAGGCCGGGGAGTCGAGCCCGGCGCGAAGGGCGCGGGACACCTCGGGCCATGCGTGTTGGGCCTCGGTGCTGACGCCTGCTGGGTGCGTTGAGCGTCTGGCTCTGGCAGCACAGCACAGCACAGAAAGGGAGCGGGGGCGCCAGGCGGGAGGGGAGGCCTAACCAGACCACCCCAACCCAACCCGAAGACCCCAATTTTGGGTTTGGGGGGGGGGTACGGGTTCCGTAAATGCGTTTTCCCATCGTTCCCTGACCCCCCTAACCACCGGAAACGGAGGGCAAAGTGAGGCCTTCGGGTTGGGTTGGGGTGGTTTTTTGGGGGGGGCCTCTACGAAGGCCCCCCCCCCGCCCCGCCGCGGGCGTGAGGCGCATGGTCTCCGAGGAGCTGAGCCGTTCCAGGAAGGCCTCCCTGTCTTCGCGTGCGGCCGCAGCCGCCAGCCGCGCCAGCCTCTCGCGCCCCGCCGCCAAGGGGCGCCGACGACGACGACAACGATGATAACGATGTTGATGCTGAATATGATGCTGACGCGGATGCTGATGCTGATGCCGATGGTGGTGATGATTAGGATGAAGATGATGGTGATCATGATGATGATGCTGATGATGATGACGATATCGACGTCAATGATGATAACGACGATGATGGTGACGGAAAGATCGACGAACAAGACGACAACGACGTCAAGGATGATGACGACGATGACGAGGATGACGATGACGACGACAACGATGATGATGACGTCGAAGACAACGACGACGACGACAACGACGATGAAATACGACAACGAAAGTCAGCGGTGGCGACGGCGAATACCGAAGCCGCCGCCCCCCGGCCCCCTCGGGGGGGCATGGGC